CTGTACCACTTAGTTAATTATTATGACTACCGAGGCTTGCCTCGATATACTCGATAATAATCTTCATTCATTCTTTAAACCAAGTGGTCCCAAGTAACCGACTACCTACGTGATTCTCCCAGTATTTGATTTAATTACTACGCTGTTAGGTACCCTATTGCATTACCATGCTCATGACAAAAATGCTCTTCTCTCTTTGTCTAGAGCAACCATTTATTTACAGTGGACGCTTGCTGCGGGTCTCGCTGGTTCACCACCTTGAACCTAGCTTTGTGCTATTTGTGGGTCGAGCTGCACCCATAGGAACGCCGTGCGTCCGATTTTCTCGAACAACTTGCCTGCAGAAACCCCATACTACTCCGTTCGGGTTAACTAACTTGTCGGCCACCTTTCAACGCTTGATGCACAAGCGCAATCTGAAATTATACCACAAAACCGTCTAGTCTAGCTGACGATAAGTTCGTTCATGATAGCGCGAAAGTAATGCACAAAAAGCTGCACTCGCGTTTTGGATCAGGGTGCGCAGTTTCGGTTTAAACTGCTGCCATCCAAGCGCCAGATCTTAAGAAAGCAAGTGCCTTACGTAAACCTCTTGATATCTGAAGCAGGAATGGACTGCACCCAGCTGAAAGTCAAGCGCCTGCATCAGGAAACATAGACGAGTTGCTCAGCTTCCTCGGTCTTTCCCCATACTCCTGGAAATTTTCATTCGGTTTCGCGACTATTGCTGTACCACTGCATGGGTCGTTAGTGAAATGCAAGAATTTGAGCTGCGAAGCAGTTCTTTAGCCGTCTTTCGAGACGCTGCTTACTATACTATATGAGGCCATTGTGTTGAAATGTCCGGCTAAAAAGCTAGCTTCATGCTATTTTATCCAGGACACTGGTGCTAGCGATACTGGTATTGGTGCCGTACAGTCACATAGCAAAACGCATGGAACAGCGTCTGTCATTACCTGCGCCAGCAAAAGTTTCTAGCCGTGTGGATGCAATTACTGCACAACGCAGAAAGAAATGCCGGCCTCAGTTGATTATATTAAGCAGTGCTGTCATTATCTTTTAGGCAGCAACTTCATCATGGGCACAGAATAGTTTCTTAATTTTGTTGCAGAACTTCCGAGATGCCATAAGGAAGGATGGGGGCGTGCAAGCCGAACTACAAGTGTACGATAGCGGATAGCAGCTCGCCCCTCTTAACTCGTTATAGCGTAAGCCTAGCAGAAAAATTGGATGGTATACGTCACGCAAGGCTAAATGCATTTCCGCATTCCTTTTCTGTGCTCCAACGCCAGAGGAATGTGCTCGAATGCAGCCAACGAACGCTGGGTATAGTCTGCTGTACAATCACATCCCATGAGGAAAAGACGGAGCTGCAAGTCAAAAGCTTGCTGGTGACTGTTGGGAAAATGTCTCTGGCCACAATGGCCTCAAGCACGCGAATAAGCTAGCACTATGGGTCTCCAAAATGAACCGGCCTATTAGCGAACTACAAACGGGCTCACGACAGCAACCCAAGAATGAATGTTAATGACTCAGGAAAAAATGGGGCACGCTGGACAAAAAGCTGGAAACAGCAGTTCGTCGTGGGTTTTAGTGGCCACCCTTAAGACATAGTGCGTTCTACTACCCACCATTCAAAGTAGAGAAATTAGCCTGTGCCTGGCCGTAGACCTCTAAAGCCAGCGAAGGCGGGTTTCCGAACGATTTGGAAGTTACCAACCTCATTGTTCCCTATCAGAGACTTCCAGAGGAAGTCGCTGCTTTTTGGTAATTGTGGTCTACAATTGTGGCGTACAATCCTCAGGGAACAGCTTGTTAATATTTTCCTAAGCCGTGCGACACTTAAGGAGCGGGATATATTCTGCTTCGAGATTTGTTGGCCTATCAAGCACCCGTGCATTTATCGGTCTGCCAAACACAGCATCTAATTTTGTCAAGGCGGGAGCATGGCTTGCCCACGTACACGGCTGCACATTGCCTAACACGAGCCCAGCGTCTCGCCTGTTCACATAGATCTGATGCAATCCAGTTTGCCACGCGCACGCAATTGGCACTATCGCATTTGCAACTATACCCGTGCTAACAGAAGTGTACTTCGATCGCAAGGCCTTCTGGGTTTATTCAAGCCATGTGCCACCCTTTGGCCAAAGGCGTTCATACTAACTTCCTTCGCCAATGGAAAATTCCGGCCGTTGTTGAATTGGCACTGTCTGGCCTAACATACGGAAGCATGAAGCCTAGGGCACCTGGTTCATTGACTGTGATGCGTTTCATTAGCATTAGCTGGCCAAGGGTGTCAGTGACGCTGAGGACAGTACCCGTTCAGAAGCGAGATTTTGTAACAGGTTCGCAACTTGCCGGATAACTGCGTTCGAACGACGTACCAGATTATTCCGTTATCGATTTATTAAAGGTATACAAATACGTGGCTCAATGACGACCACAAATATGGACGAACGTTGACACAAGCTACTGTTGCGCTTTACTTCCCTGTCTGCGCTCTGGCACTTTGACCTCGGCTGCCTAGCTGGTTTATGTATTTAGCTGCATGTTTGCAAAGTAGCGCTATACATATTTCCCTATGAAACGCGATCACTTACTAGGTGGTTGTGGTAACTAACGCATCGCCAACAAATATTTATTTTGCCTTCAAGCTATTGGGGTCCATTTTGCCCCTAGTTTCGTATGAACCGCGATCTTTTACTAGGTATTTGTGATAAGTAGCTCATCGCCTAGGAAATATTTGCTTTCATTTCAGGGCATTCGAGTCCAATTCGACCTCAGTTACTCACGAAACACAAAAGAACACGGAATCCTCGGCGTCGCCGTTTTCTTTTAACCTCGTGCTTTAGCATGTGTTAGGGAATAATTCTTACAACCGGATGACAATATTTTAGATAACTGATGCAGCCGTCGCTGTTAATTATATCCTGGGTTGATGTGAGACTACCTTTACGCGGGAGCTCTGGAAAAAGCCCTAAACGGTAGGTATAGTAGCGTGGCCAGATTGCAGTTGATGGAATTTAGTTTCAGCTGAGGGTAGTTTAATTACGTTATGCCGTCATAACCCCAATGAACCTGGCTTGCACAACAGTATCCACTGCGGCTGGTTCAGTACTGAGAACCACATAACGCAAATACAAAAGATAAAAAAGGTGTAACCTAAGTGAAGCTTATCCATCCAAGTAGTATGCGCGTCGATTTGCACAGAGTTGTGAAGACTTTGTCCTATTACTGCTCGACCTTTACTCAAAAGTGGCGTTCAGCTTTCAAGCACGGCTTGCGCGTTATACCAAGAAATGTACCGTCAGTAAGGCTTTTACATATTCGGAAAGGCAATTAAGCAAGGCTTTCCGGCGTACAGCGTTGACATCGTATCCCTCAACCACGAAGCCTACTCGGTCGGTTTACTGACGTTGCGTACCCTATTGCCACACCAGTTTATCCTGAGCTGTCCAGATTATAAATACCGCCTAGAACAGTTAATGGCAGCCGCGTACATTAGAGTTCCAGGCAAGCTCTCTCTACAGTGTATGCTTGTGAAACTCAAAAATTCTTCAGCAGAGCACCAAATTTTGAACACCATCAAGAGTACTGTTGCTTAGTTACTTGTGTACGGAAGACGAACGCTATTTAGGTGTGCATAGACTTGCTTGTCTAGCAACAAAGTAGCCGTCGTGCTGGATAAATACTGCGTCTGGTTTTCGGTATGAAGCTGAACATGCATTCACCAAGCGAATCCATTATGCCAATGGCCACCGAGATGAAATGCACAGATTATTGTTTCTGCCCCAGGAATCTGGCTTTTGATCGCTAGCATCGGCAGCAAGATGCAGCCTTGTACCACGGCTCAGAGATCACTGTACTGGGTTAAGCATCCAGGATGTGTTCAGCAAACGCATGGCGACCCGGGAAACTTCATTTTGAGAACAGGGCGGACAGGAGTGTTACTACACCGTCAGCTACGTACAATAGCGTTTGTGTTACGCCACAAACTTTCCATAGCTAAGCCAGTGCTTGTTGTCGGGATGGATTATATCGGTTTGCTTGCCTGCCTGTTTACACTACCTGGCGTGAAGAAAACATACTTCACAACGCCGATACTTCCCAACATTTCACAACTATACTGAAACTAGAGAATCTGTCTGGGGATAGAAGCCTTGTGTTTACTTTCCTTAAGTGGGTAGCAATTACGTCACTACAATCTGGACGTTCGGGAACTCTGAACAATGCGAAATCCTTTGACTACAGTGTTTTAAAACAAGCCATATGGCCGGGTTGCTAATCTGGTGCTAAACAACGCATCTGCTTAAAATAAGCAAGAATCGCGAACTTGAAACTTGTGGTAATAGACAAAGGGAAGCTTATAATCCCAGTATGTAAAAGGGACTTCCGAAATACTACTGTATTAACCTGCGATCAAAGGGACATTTAAAGCTTTCATGCACGCAAAGTACTAAGGCAAATTTCCGTGGTACGATTCCGCAGTTGCGGAAGCAAGGTCTGTTCACTGAGGGTCTAAAAATGCTCAGTGCACATTGAAAGCATCTGCGATACAATAAAAAGTACAGCATTACGTCGTCCAGTTTTCTATGGGGTGAAAGCGTTCCATCAATTTACGCAAGAAAATTACTCGAAACTTTGCCTGACCTTTAGTGGGTGGGCGGTAAACCCTGCATTCCGGGCGACAAAGTCGAACATTAAAACAGCATTTGCGAAAACTCGCGATTTGCTCAACTCCTTGCGTGCTTTATAAGGTTACAAAACCATTTGTCCGTCATTTCACTATGGATTTGTCATCTACCTGCGCTAGAGAAGGCAGAACCATGTAAAAAATATAAGCCATGCGAAACCGAATTTACAACTGCTTAATCAAGCAACAGTTTGTTTAGACCTTTTTATAACCCAGTGCTATGCTTTGTAATACAATAGTGCGTTATTAAGTTGTGTTCGTTTTGCACTGCAACAAATGCACTCGATATTTATTACTGACGTGATTTTTCAAATCTGTCAGCTGTTCTCATGGACGTCTCTCCCCAGAGGCTTTTAGGAGACTTTCGTTGTTAGGCTTGCCTCCCTAATTCATTTCGCAATGAGCAGTGCTGCCAGTCTGGATTTCGATAATCTTGCCACCCGAAAAGTGCTATTAATTTCGAATATTTTATGCTCCTTCGCGAGCAGGCTAGTTTCCAGTTCCGTAGCCCTTGTGTAACCAGAAGGCATCTCGGAAAGGACGAAATGCTCATACATTCAGCTAAAAATTCTCGGCGAGCCAGGTCTACGGTTTGTGCTAACCGTACTTTATAGCTACTTTTATTTTCAGGAACCCTCACCTGATAATAAGGGAACATATAGCAAGCAACCTTGTGAGGATAAAATGGACGTTATTAATCGCTTTGCTGATGGTTTGGAACCTGACGATTCCTGTGATGGGATCAGCGAGAAACGTCTACCCTTTTCTTTGAAAAATAATGAGAACGTTTGTCGTCTTTTTAATGTGCTCTATTCCTCAGATGAGCAAGACAGAATTAATCAACGGTTACCGTTTGCTTATGAATGAAAAACTGCGTCTGGAACGGTTTTTATCCATCATGTCCAAGAACAACGAAATGGTGAGCATTAACACTAACAAAGTTCCTTTACACTCTTACGTCTTTGTGCTCACGAGTTCGATTTTAACCTGCTTCAGTTATTGCATATGCTATACTGGGTCTTAAATTTTCTGAGTTAGTAACGATTTTTACCTGTTATTTGTCCATGGAAAACAACAGGTTTTTGTAAGTACCTTACTGTTATCTTTACTGATTTGGCTTTGATGATTTGGCTGGTACAATCACAAATAATCATCAGCTGCACGCTATAATGGCGCTTTAGTGCCGCGCGACTAACACCAGTTGCGCGTGAGTCATATATTGCGAGGACGTCCGCCAATACGCGGATTCCAACCGGTGATCTAACTTATTGCAAACCAGACGTGCAGACCATTCGGTCATCGGCCGACCTGAGGTACAGCTATTACCTACCTTATTAAACGTTAGTATACCTTTCGATCTTTAAGACCAGTTCAGGTTCCAATAACGATGCAGGCCCGCAAAGTCTGCGTTCTACTTATTCTGCCGGCAAGGAAATCAGAGCAGCACGAACGAAAGTACAGCCTGTGCTTTTATGCGTCAGTATCTGAATTCATTGCCCGCTCGCGATCTTATTCACACCTACAAAGAATTTGCAATAACTCGACGTCTGTTTAGGCCTTATTTTGATACCACTACTTTGTCGCGTTCCACTAGGTCAGAAGGGACTTTTTGTTTTTTACTTTATTTCGCGTATCACTCTTCTATTAGTGCTTTAAAGTTATAGGTACACCGCTCTCAGGGTCAATTTTGCTTTCGGAACTATATTAAAGTCATATAGACCAAAACAGCTATTAACATACCGCTAACGTCATGCACCGCATTCACTTCACATCATGTGGGTCACCTGATATTTACTAAAAATGGTAGGTGGACGTAATGTGATTTCTGCTACGTACCGCAACTGCCATAAGTCTAATCTGAGGAGCAGTTTTGATGTGCACATTATGGGACAAATTGCGATGCAATTTCAATCTGGATTGGGACTCACTTTGAAGTTATTTCGGTTCCTTTGATTGAAGCAGATAACTAATGTTTTCCGCTCGCAGCGCTGCACGACAGCCGGTTCCGTACTTGTTTGCAGTGCAATGTTGCGAGCAAGCAACACCTAATGTTTTTGTGCCTTAAATTTACTTATCGGGGAGATCTTTGTAGCGTGAGTCCAGTTAAACTGCTTTTTTCTTCAATGCTTTGACAACTAAATCCTTTGGACAGTACGTTTACGTTGATCCGTTCCCTTATGATTAAATTAATGTAGCCTCAGTCTTTGTAAGTACTTATAAAAACTAACCTTTCCGATTTAATTGGTAAAGCAGGGCAACTGCTGTTGTGCCATTCCACACCTTATTAAAATCAGTGTAAATAAAGACCTGGAATATTTCCAAAACACTATGATATTTCGGTCAATCCTTGCTTCTCACATTCTGAACTACTCTCATTACGTTTATTCTTTTGAAGACTAGTAAGCATATTGGGGGTATTATGGCACGTGTTGAGTCCCATTTATCACTGAAGACGACAGACATACCAGCTAAACGATTGAAGTAATCCTGTTTGTATGATCTACACAGTACTGTACATCAAGCGTAAGATACTGTTCTGCGGCTTGAGGTGAAGTACCGTGTAGAACCTGGTTCATAGACAGAGTTCGCCTTGTCTCATCGCTGTATATGTATGTATGTATGTAATCTCAACAGTCTAGTAACTAGACATAGAGCCAAAAAAGCCATGGAAATCAGTGTATAAGAGACAGTCATTGCGTCATAATCGTCGTGGCATGCTAGCTGAAGGTGGGCAACACACTTCAGTTAATATGCCGCAAGAAAATGGAATATTTTGACAAAAATACAGAACAAAACATTTTTAGTTTGTTTGTCACACGCCGATTTTTCTCTTTTTTGTCATTTTCAATGTTTGTAGAATTAAACATGTGAATCAACACAACACTGTACACAATTCTTCCATTGATTCCGGTTGCGGGCCATGTCTTCAAGTGTCCTAAGCCATTAGCACTCCCCATCTTTGGATCCCCATCCTGGAAGACGTACGGGTCCAACAGCGGCTAGACACGACGTCAGCGATTTCATGTGCTGCCGCCAAGTGGAAGGCTGACCACCACGCGGTCGCTTCCAGCCAGGTCCTTGACGAGCGAATAGAGCGCGACGCGGTAGACGCTCAGGTGCCATGCGTAGGACATGACCGAGCCATCTTAACTGGCGCAACAAAACCAGTTTGTTGAAGGAAATACTTGCATTCCCCAAGACGCGACGTCGAACGTCATTACTGGTAACTCGATGTTGCCACCGAACACGAGCGATCCTCCTTAAGCAACCGTTATCGAACGCAGAAAGACGACGCATGTCTTCCACGCGAATCGGCCAGGACTCGCTCCCATACAACAATACTGAGCGAACGGACGCGCTGTAAACTCGGCCCTTTAGTGAGAATGAGACGTCGCGACGACGCCACAAGTGCCTCAGATTGACAAATGCTGATCGAGCTTTAGCGATGCGAAGCGAAACTTCTTTGTTGATTGTGCCGTCAGCGGAAACACAGCTCCCAATGTAGACGAAACTATCTACCTGTTCAAGTTGTGCACCTTGGAGAGTGAGCACGGGTGCAGGTGAAAGCCAATCCTTGAGCAGTACTTTACACTTCGATGGGGCGAAGCTCATGCCATACTTAGATGCTTCAACCGCCAAACGATCCAGAATGAGTTGCATACCCTGAGGATCGTCACCAAGTAAGGCGATATCATCAGCATAATCTAAGTCGGTCGCGCGCTCACCCGGTAGAAGCTCTAGGCCAAAATGTTGGAAACCTTCTAGGGCATTCGACAGAACGTCTTCGATTGCGAAGTTGAAGAGGAATGGGGACATAGGGCAGCCCTGTCGCACACCGCTATTGACAGCGAATTGTGAGGAAAGCTTGCCATAGACCCTCACTCTGCCGGATGTGTGAAGGTAAAGTGCTCGTAAGATGGCGATATATTTCTCTGGCACCCCGTTCTTTAGTAAGCAACGCCATAAAGCAGGTCGATCAACGGAGTCAAAAGCGGCACGTATGTCTAGAAATGCAACGATAGTGGGCCTGTGATAAATGGGGCGATGTTCAAGGAGTTGGCGGAGCTTGAAGATTTGATCCACGCATCCGCGGCCAGGACGGAAACCAGCTTGTTCTTCACGGTAGTACGATTCACGTACTGGGGATAGTCTATGAAGTAGAATGGATGCCAACAGCTTAGAGGCAACCGAAATAAGACTAATCCCGCGATGATTTGCACATGAAGTGCGAGCGCCTTTCTTGAAAATTGGGACAATAACTGATTCGCCTCAAGAGGGAGGCACTTTCTCTTCATGCCAAATTTTTGCGAACAGCGCGGTTAGCTGGTTAATGATTGCCATACCGCCATACTTGAATAGCTCCGGAGGGAGTCCGTCTAAGCCGGCAGCCTTGAAGCGCTTCAAGCGTCGAATCTCGAGGCAGACTTCTGCTTCGCTGGGTGGATTCAATGGGACTAGCCAAGGTGGACAGCAAGGTGTACTGCATGTACTGATGGATGGTGGAGGCCAGTTGAACTGCGAGTGAAAGTGCTCGGCCCAGCAGTCCATACGCCTCTGTTGGTTGGTGATCGGAGACTCATCCAGCTCACAAATGACCTCACTGACACCAGGCTTCCTGAGGCCAGTGGACCGAATGAGTTGGAAAAGCCTGCGAGTGTTACCAGAGAGGGCAGCAGTCTCCATCTCTAAAGCACGCTCAGACCACCATGTCTCGCGATCTTTGCGGAGGCTTTGCTTAAGCAGCCGGTTGGTAGAACGGCGCTGCTCGTTACAATCTGATTCCGCGGAGATATCTTTGCGGCGTTCGAAGAGCTCCAGAGAACGAGCAGAGATCCAAGACTTCAAAGGGCGTCGAGTTAGACCGCAGCATGACTGTCCGGAAATGGTCAGCGCTTTCCGTATACAAGTCCAGTGTTGTTCCACTTCTCGCGGTGGATTGCAACTGAGTGCATATGCCAGTGAAGACTGATAGCTCTCCTGGACAGAGGAATCAGTTAATCTGTTTACATCAATCTTGCGGCGCTTCGTGTTTCGGGATCCTCCAAAACACATACAGATTTTCGCGCAGACCAGAGCATGATCTGAATCAACGAAAGTGGACCAAAAGGACCTGCAGTTTAGTACGCTGCCGCGCCATCTGAAGCTAATCGCAATGTGATCAATTTGAGACCACGGTTGTGTTGAAGAAGGGGGACGCCAAGTTGCGGAACGCTTCTTCGTACGCCTGAAGCTTGTGCTCGAGAGAAACAGACGGTTGTCCTCGCACAATGTGAGAAGTCTCTCTCCGTTATCAGAGCGGTTCTCATCGAGCGCGTGATGACCACCAAGGTGGCGTTCGTATGGTAACAGGCGGCCAACCCGTGCATTAAAATCCCCAGCAAGGATAACGACATCCGACTTTTTAGCATTAGGCAAGAGCTGTTGTAGATCTCGGTAGAAATCGTCCTTGACCGAGTCGCTACTGCAGTCAGTTGGAGCGTAAACAGAGATCACAAACAAGTTGCGTCTCTGTTCGCGTTGCCTGTTGATTCTACATGAACCCCGAAGCCGAACTGCACATAGTCGGCTGTTAATCGGGAACCAGTCCAGTAGTGCCGCCTCGGCCTTGCCACTCAGTGCTATACCTACACCAGCCAAACCCGCTGAGCTTGCTTCTGGATCTCCAGAAAGACGCAGGTGATATCTGGCTTCGTGGTCAGTGGGGGATGTCAATGTAAGCACAGTGCTGGGATCTTGCAATCGGGTTTCTGAAAGGCAGCAGACATCAATGTCTAGGGAATCTAGGGTGCGCGCTAGACCGGCTTGCTGTCCAATCTGCATGAGCGTCCGGACGTTGAAGCACGCCAGACGGAACGAGGATCGGGGACGAAGGAGAGCCACAGGTTGCATTCCTTGATCTGCGGAGCAACCGGAATCGCA